CCCCGTCCTCTCTCGTAAGTCTTCCCCTCACAGAATCCTTGCCCCCTCTGACCCTCTAAGCAAGCACGGTCAGGGGGCCTCCAGCCCCTTCCTCTCTCTGAACCCATACCTGTCCCTCTGCCGCTGGCAGCAGGCAGCAGTGTGGCCTGGCCTCTCTCCCCTGGAGCTGCCACCCTCCACCCCCACCTTCTCCCTCAGCCCACGCGGGGCCCCAGCCTGGGGCAGCACAGGCTCAGCCAGTCTGGCCAGGCTGGGCAGTCAGGTCTCCTGGGCAGCCAGGCCTGTCATTACCCCATCCTGAGCCGGTGGGGAGGATGGCCGCTGGACTGGGCTGCCAGGCCAAGGGCCAAGGGCTACTCACTCAGCTTGGGGCTCGGCCTTCACTTCTGAGCCTGGGAACTGTGGCTTTCTGGGGCCTGTCCTGGGTCCACCAGACTCCTGTTGGGGTGGCCAGAAGAATCTCAGTGGGCTGGCTGAGGAAGGAAGACTCCATGTCTTCCTTGAGCCTCCCAGTGCCTGGGAAAGAGGCATTCTATTTCTCCTTACCCAGATGAAGAAATCAGTTGAGACAATTTAATTCTGTTGCTCAATGTCACAGAACGTGTAATGGCAGACCTGGGACTCGACCCAGGGAGGGCTGGGGTTATTTCAGATGAGAGCCACAAAGGGACCATCACATCCTCCCCCAGATTCTGAAAGTGCTAGTGGAGTGGGAGCCACCCTGGGGAGATCCCTGTTGCTGCCAGAGCCATGCAGGAGGTGGCCAGTCCACCCCGGCCCAGATCTGGAAGTGACCACCTGTTGCTGGAAGCCTCCCGGAGATCTGCCTTGGAACAATTCAGGGAGATGGCTCTGAAGTGACCTGGTGACACTATCTGTACACTCACCAAAGACTGTGATCATTCCATTGCAGATTATTTACTGACATTTAAACATTTTAGAACTTAATGGCATTGTCTGTGGTTAAAGAAACAGGATCTTGGGCGCCTGGGTGGCTCTGTGGTTGAGAGTCTGCCTTTGGCTCAGGGCGTGATCCTGGGATTCTGGGATCCAGTCCTGCTTCTGGCTCCCACTTCTGCCTGTGTCTCTGCCTCTCTCTCTGTGTCTCTCGTGAGTAAATAAAATCTTAAAAAACAAACAAGCAAATAAAACACAGGATCTTAACTTGGCCATGGGCTGAGAAGTTTGTGAACTTCTGCAGAAGTAAATAGTTTTTTATTTTATTTTAAGATTTTATTTATTTATTCATGAGAGAGAGAGAGAGAGAGAGAGAGGCAGAGACACAGGCAGAGGGAAGAGCAGGCTCCATGAAGGGAGCCCGTCATGGGACTCGATCCTGGGAATCCAGGATCAGGCCCTGAGCCAAAGGCAGATGCTCAACTGCTGAGCCACCCAGGTGTCCCAAGTAAATAGTTTTGGACCAACTTTCAGCTAGACTAATTTTTGAGCTGTGAAGCTGTTTCCTTTTTGTCTTAAAAAAAAAAACAAACCCTGCTTGATTTTATAAGGATTGAAATGTTATGTTTGGGGTGTGTGGGGAAGGGGTGGGGGAATAATTTTGAGCTGGCTCTGGGAAACAAGGAGTAAAGGTCCCAATCCTGGTCTGGTCTGCTTGGCCCATAGAGATTCTTCTGGCCATCCTGGTAGGGGTCTGGTGGGCCGGACACAGTCCCTAGAAGGACACAGGCTCTGGGCTCAGTAGGCAGCAGAATGGCCAGGTTTGGGTGGGAGACTGTAGCTGTCCTTTTTTTTCCTAGGGATGCCCCAGGAGCGGGAGCAGGGCACAAGATGTGTATGTGTGTGGGGTGGTGGTGGTGGTGGTGGGGTTGTAATCCTGGGCTTGCTGAGCTCCTCAGGCTCTGGGGACCAGGAGTCTAAGAAGTCCCTGCTCCCACCTGGTGTGAGTGGGACCAGAGCCGAGGGATGGCTTGGTCATCCTCACGGTACCGCACTTCCCAGCTGACAAGGCATTTTCACATCCTCATTCACTTGACAGCTGTCTTCGTTAGGGGAGGAATGCCGATGTCCTCATTTGACAAAGAGGGAAGTTGAGGCTGAGAGGGAACCGGCCTCTCCAAGGTCACATGGCTGGCAAGATGCTTATGGGGTGGACAGGGATGGGTGAACTGATCTGGGGAGAGGGCTGACCTTGATAAAAACCAGCATGTCTGAAACAATTCCAAGGGCATAAAATTATGCAGTGAATATTGTGAGAAAGAAAACGAAGTGAGTGCCAACCCTGCCCTCCTCACCCCAGAGGCAAAGATGACGGATGGCAGGCCCATCAGAAGATGGCACTAGAAAGCGCTAGCCATGCTGTTGGGGGTGGCAAGCTCGGGGAGCCAGAGCACGGGCAGGAAGTGTCTGGTCTCTGTGGGGGTTTTCCTGCAACAGGTGGGTAGGACCCTGCCAGTGCCTCCTGGCACCAGTCAAGCCTCCACAAATATTTCTCCAGCTCCACTCATGTGCAGAGCTGCTCACAGTCCTCGGGGACCCCCTCCCCCAGCTCCCATTCCTTCTGCACACCTGGGCTCCCCGTCCACCTCGTCCACCTCGCAGGCTCTGGGTCCCTCCTGCACCTGCCCTTCCCCTGTGTGCAGCCCCTCCCCCGCCTCTGATGTGCTTGGCTGAACTGGGCAGGGAAGGACAGCTTTTTAGTCACTTTAGGCCACAAGTGGAAAGTTCTAGGGCCCGTATGCCCCCTCCCCCACTCCTATTTCTCCAAGTGCCAGTTGGCTGTGTCCCAAGAAAACAAGGGCAGGAAGTCGGCAGGGGTGGGGTGGGGTCTGTCCATTTGGCCAGCCCACTTCTGGACTCAGCTTACTGAAGGCCTGGGACCATGGGTAAGGGGCACCTGAGTAAGTAGGCTCTGATGGCGGAGTGCCCATCCTGTCCTGGGCAAGCTCTTGGCCTTCTCTGGGTCTCAGTTTACCCATCTGTACAAAGGCTGTAAGAGTCCCTGCCCTAGTTACTCTCGGGAGGCCGTGATGAGGTCATCACAGGAAAGCACTCATTGTCAGTCTCGAAGGGTACTTATTTCTGTTGTTCAGCCCACAGGCCTCCACGTGTGCTGTTCCTCTGAGCCTTGTAAGGAAAACCCAGTAGGTGTGGTCCAGGCAGAAACCATCCCTGTTTACATTGCTTGCTGTGTATGTCTGTGGGGGGTGGAGAGGGGAAGTGTAGGGGAGGGTGGGGTGGGAATTTGGGAACCAGAATGCCTCCTGCCTTCCTGAGTGCCTTGGGCATTCATTGAGCACCCCTGCTTCTGTCCTCGGGGAGCCCCCCACCTCGCAGACGGGCCAGCTGTGTTTACTACCAACCACAATGCAAGACCTCAACTTCCCCACCGTGTCAGGTGGTCCCAGCCAGCCCTGTGATTTCCCAAGCCATCCCCACGGAACCTCCACGGCCTCCAGTGTGCCCAGGGCCCACAGATGACTCCAATCGAAATCACGCAAGCTTGCTGATTGTCCCGTAAGAAACTCTAGGACACGAGGACATGTGGCCACCCCAGGGTGCCGGGTTCGGTGCTGGACAATGCTGGGAGCTAAGGGATGTGTTGGAGCCTGAGGAGGCTCCAACCTGAGGAGCCCCCCAGTCTGGTGGTGACCATGTGGAGGGTGAGGGGTTCCCTTGATCTAGCCGGGGTGAGGCCCAACCACTCTCCCCCATAAAGACCCCCGCAAACCCCACCCTGCTCTCTTTCGCCTCCGTTCAGTTTCCAGAGACGTCTAAGGTGTGTGGACACCTCTCTGCCTGGCATCCAATGCCCTTGCTCATCCTGGGGCTTGGTGACACTTGGGACAGAGATTTCTGGCCCTTTCTCCCTCCCCCCACCAACCCCAGGTCTGGTCTGACTGGATTCCTCCAGGTTCCTAGAACTAGCTGCATTTCCCTAGCTCCCGTACCTTTGCCCTCCATGTTTCTTCCCCCCAAATGTCCTCCTTCACTCAGCCCTGCTGCCTTGCACAACTCCCAGGGGACCCATCCGTGGTGATTCCTGCCCTCGATGACCTGTGCACAGAACCCAAGACTATAGCACGGCCGGGGTTGTGGTGCAGGGCTCCTCTCCCTTCCAACCCCCTCCCCCTCTCTCCATGTGGTAGGAGTCCTGCCTCCCCTTCCAAGTCTTGTGGGACTTTGCCCCCAACCTGGTTTTATCTGACCACCGCTCTGTGTGTCTTCACAGAGTAAACAGCTTTTTGCTGGGCTTGTGCTCCCAGGGTCTGGGCCATGGCTTGCTCTGGTTGACCTCCCCCAGAATCTGGCCCAGTGGCCTCCATCCTGGCAGCAACCAGCCGAAACTCTCTTGGTGGGGGGGGACAGGCTTCCTTATCTCTTCCACCAAAAGACCTCATCCCTCTGGCAGGGCTAGGAAGCCTGGCGGTGGTCAGGGAAGGGCCAACAGGTGACAGACCCAGGAGTCCTGCCCCCCCCCCCCAGCTGAGTTCTCCAAAGTGCCCTCATTAGGCCAACACCAAAATCACTGGCGAGGCAAGTGCACAGATGATAAGAGTCAGAATAGGAGTGATCAGGCCAGAGGGGAAGGTGATAAGGATGGGGCTACAGTAATCAGGGTGGGGCTTTTTGACATTCCCAGGACTCTGCCCTCAGATCCTCTCTCTGACGGTTCCCCACCCTGTCTGCCCACCCAAGCCTAGAACAAGGGTGCCCCTAGGGCTGGGGATCCTGGTCTTCAGGACCCGACCCTGGCTGGGGTTGGCTACCCCATGCGTCCAGGGGCCTGTGGTCTGTGACTCAGGGTCTTTCTCCAGGCTGACCTCAGCATGGGCCTGGGGGCTGGGAGACAGGGCAGTTTCCCCTGAGACTGGCTCTCCAGGATCTTGACTCAGGGGCCCAGGGCTGAGGTCCTGCAGTGCCTTTGTTGGCCTTGGCTCAGGAATCCAGATAAACTGGTCAGGGGGCAGGCCCCAGGGACCGAAACCCCTCCCTCTGCTCCCGCCCTCCCACACAGCCATATAACTGCTCCTGTCTTGGGGTGAGAGCCACTGGCTGAAAGGAACTGGTCGGGGTACGCTCACCTGGCTTGTCCTTCTGATTCCGGAGAGCTGGGGAGCTGATCCAACCGCCTCTGCCTCTGGACTCCAAGTGAAAGTCTTCCCTGTGGACGCAGAGTGTCTGTCCTCACCGCTTGGATTCCTACAGCCCTTTGGGTCGGACCCGCACCGGCTTCCAGGTCGTAGACCCCAGCGGACGGCGAGCCATGGCCTCCATGGGGCTGCAGGTGATGGGCATCGCGCTGGCCGTGCTGGGCTGGCTGGGCGCCATCCTGAGCTGCGCGCTGCCCATGTGGCGCGTGACGGCCTTCATCGGCAGCAACATCGTCACGTCGCAGACCATCTGGGAGGGCCTGTGGATGAACTGCGTGGTGCAGAGCACCGGCCAGATGCAGTGCAAGGTGTACGACTCGCTGCTGGCGCTGCCGCAGGACCTGCAGGCGGCCCGCGCCCTCATGGTCGTCAGCATCATCCTGGCCGCGCTGGGCGTGCTGCTGTCCGTGGTGGGTGGCAAGTGCACTAACTGCGTGGAGGATGAGAGCGCCAAGGCCAAGACCATGATCGTGGCAGGCGTGGTGTTCCTGCTGGCCGGCCTGCTGGTCATGGTGCCGGCGTCCTGGACGGCCAACAATATCATCCGGGACTTCTACAACCCGCTGGTGGTCTCCGGCCAGAAGCGGGAGATGGGCGCCTCTCTCTACGTGGGCTGGGCCGCCTCGGGCTTGCTGCTGCTCGGCGGGGCCCTCCTCTGCTGCAACTGCCCTCCCCGCACGGACAAGCCCTACTCGGCCAAGTACTCGGCCGCAGCCCGCTCCGCCCCAGCCAGCAACTACGTGTAAGGTGCTGCCACTCGCCACTGCGCTCTGTCCCGCCGGCTTCGTTTCTCCCCGGACTGAAGGTGCAGCCCTCGAGCCCAGGATGGCCCTGCGTTGGCCACAGGCTGCCCGGGGCTGGGCGAGCAGGAACTGAGCCGGGCCCCATCTAGTCCCCTTGGACGTCTACCCGAGGCCCCCTCTACGCCAGCAAGAGACTCCTGTGCCACCGTCCACCCGTGGATACGGAAAGGGGACAGAAGTGACAGGGTGTGGCTGGGGAGGAGGAGCTGGTTCCTGCTGGTCAGGACGGCTCAGCCCTGAATTGGCTCAGGCTCTGCCTCCCCATGGGGCCCTGCTCACTCCTGTGTTGGCCAGGAGGATGGCTGGGGCCTCACTTACCCACCTGACCATGGAGCCAGAGTTGACACAGAGTTGACAGACGGGTTTAGAGGGGAGGGGTGAAGGTGCCACAAACTGGTTTGGGTAGTGGTGGGGAGGAGGCCAGGGAGGCTGCCCAGACCGCCCACACCCCTTCCTGCCCCCACCCTGCAGCCTCAGGGCTCTGCCTCAGCGCAGGACCCCCAGGCCTTTTGTGACTGGGCGACATCTGGATTCTGCCACCCCTGCCAAGGTCACGGGGACCCGCTGTGGAGGGGAGGGGGGATGGTCTTTCTCGGGCCTTCACTCCCAGGAAGTCCTGGGCCTCTTTGCTGCCTCCTCTGTAGTTGGTTTTGTAACTTATGTAGATCTGTTTGTCATGGTAATTACCATTATTTTCTACAATAAATGGGACCTGTGCACAGGAAGACTGTATTGTTTCTGATTTCTGCTGTGAAGGTGGGCAGGGCAGGGCTGGAAGCCTGGGCAGGGGGTCAGTGAGGAGCAGGACCACTGTGTCTTGGCCAGGACAAGAGCACTTAAACTGGTTTCGAGGAATTGTGACAAATCAGAACTTAGCCTCACCTTTGGAATGACCTTGCTCAAAGCTGTTCTTTTGTTTGAAGGTGAAGCCCTACGTAGGAAATGCACTGTGTGCCCAGGACTGTGGTAAAGGGTTGGGGACCCCAGGAGGGAGGCCCCGTGAGAACACTCAACCTTGGGGAGTGGGCCACCTGCTGTTCTCCCCTCTTTGTCCAGGCTTTGTCTGGAGGCCATGGTGGTCCGCTCACCCTCCAGGTCCCCTGTCCTGGTCTTGGCCTAGGCTGTCCCTGTTGTGGGTCTGGAATGTCCCGTTCCCTTTCTCCAGCCCTCTGAATCCTGCTTGTCCTGAAGGCCTGGCTCTAGGGCTCCTTCCTAATGAGCCTCCAAGACACACCTGGAGCCAGGCTTCCCAACTCTTTGGAGATGAGGGAACAGAATCCTGGACACGCGAAAGCATTTGCTCAAAGGCCAGAAGCACGGGCACGGGTTTCCTGGTCCTCCTGTTAGGGTGAGAGGACCTGCCACCCCGGGAGGAGTCACATCACATCTACGGCCCTATCATGCCTGGCTCAGGGACAGCCTGGCATGATAGGGCGTCATCTGTTTTCTTGTCAACCTCTCTCCGTCTCAGGGATTGATGTCATGTTCCTGGGTGAGAGAAGCAGAGCCAGAGTCCTGAGACCCCTTCTGGGACTCATTTAATAGAGTAGAACTCCCGGAGGGGCAAGTGGACACAGGGGCCCCATTTTACAGATGAAGCACAGGAGGCCCGAGGACGGGCCTGGCTGAGGTCAGGTAGAGGGTCAGAGGTTGGCCGGGGGCTGAGGACTGGGCCCCACTCCCTCCTCCTGGGCCATGTCCTGCTTTCGGTACAGGTAGATGATGCCAGAGATGAAGCCATCCCTGTCAGAAGTTCCAGGGCCCATCTCAAGCTCGGAGGTGGCCAGTTCCCACCGGTCCACAGGCCAGGCCATGAGGCGTTTCCATGCCCCGGCCTGCTCCAGCCTGTCCAGCACGGCCTCTAGTGCCTCCTTGTAGCACAGGTTGGATGGGTTGGTCCTGGTGGTCAGACACACCAGCCCCCCTGGAGAAGGGGGCAGGCTGAGTGAGGGAGGGGCAGGAGCCATGGTTCCAGGCTCAAGGCCCACCCCTTCCTGGGGAGGGTGGTCCCTTTCTGCTCCTGTCCTCAAGGGCTATGTCTTCCCAGCCTTGTCCCCGGGCCAGCCTTTCCCCACCTCCATGCCTTTGGCGCTCACTGCTCCTGCCCCAAGGAATACCCTTTTGTTCCCTCAGCCTGACAGCCCCCTACACGCCCTTCCAGGCTGATGTGTCCTTTACGCTGGGAATTCTTGGCTTAAGCCCTTGGGTGGAGGGGACTCTGTCCTTACTGCTCACCCAGCCCCTTCTGTTGGAGGATGTGGCTGTATTTGGAGACACAGGAAGGAAGCACTTTGGGCCTCTGGCAAGTCCCCTCACCTCTCTGAGCCTGTTTTCCCAGCTTATGGAGTGGGGCTGCTTCCCCGGGTCACAGGAACGACTGCACCGTCATTAAATGCTGGCTGCATGAATGACTGACCTATGGCTATAGGTCTTCTCCAGGCACCTACAGCATGCCCAGTGCGGGCTCAGATACACATAGGGGCGATGGTGTCTGGAGAGCTTCCCGGAGGAAGGGGTGAGAAGTGGGCCCTGTGGGGTGGGTAGATGGGGCTCTGTGAGAGGAAAGGCTCCAAAGAGCCTGTATGATGTGGCTGGACAGACAGGGCTCTGGCCAGCTGAGGGGCCTGACAAGCATGGGCTGAGCTGGTTCTGATGGGAGCTCCCTGTTCTCTTGAGCCCAGTTACTACCTTTCTCTCTGACCCCACTCAAGACCCTACTTCTGTCAGCTTCCACAGCTCCCCAAGGCTGAAACCTGCCCAGACCTGCCCAGGCTTAGCCATGGGCCCTGCTGGGCCCAGTGGGGGTGAGGGGGGGCAGGGAGAAGATGCAACCTTGCTGCAATCGGAGCACCTTTGGGGCTTTCCGATCCTGTCCCACAGCCAAGGCAGTGTCTCAGCATCCTCCTACTCCGCCATTCTCCCTCCTGCCTGTGACTTCCTGTGGCTGTGTTCCCTGTTTCTGCCTGTGGCTGCATTCCTGTGTGTGCTGCCCTCCATCCCCATCCAGCCTCCAGAAGTGCCGTTCTTCTCTGGGTGCTCAGAGTGGCCTGGCCCTCTTCCTCAGGTCCCCACCTGGTTTGGCAACTCACAGAAAGCTCAGGTCTGGCAGTGGGTTGGTGATGGAAGCCCAGAGGGCAAAGGCCAGTGAGGGACAAGGCACACGGCTGGAGCAAAGCAAACCCAATTCTCAGCTGCATATCGACCCCTATGGGGGAGTTTACAGAAAGCGCTCACCCCAGGCCTGTGGGGGAAGGGGCTCCGCCACTGCAGGCAGGTGTGTAGGCGAGGAGATAGAGCCAGAGAGGAGAGTGGAGTTGCCCAGGGGATAAGAGGCAGGCTGGCTACCTGCCTGCCCTGTCTGTTTGCCTGGGTCTGTTGATGGTGGTTGCTGGTGGCTGGGATGTGAGGCTAGGCTATGTGACCCTGGGTAGGGTGCTGCCCCTCACTTTCCCTGGGAGGTTCCGAGGCTGGTGTCTCCTCATGTGGAGGGGGGGGGGAGGTATGTGCCTGGGGTTGAACAGGTTGCTCCTCACCTGGCTTGGTTACTCGAAGAAGCTCAGGTATGGCACTGCAGGGCACCTGGCCATCACTGAGGGCCCCCACTATCAGCACTGCATCGAAGGTCCCTATGCAGAAAATGGAGATGCAGTGTGAGGGTTTGTCTTTGTTATGGCCTCATGATGCCCATCAGAAGGGACCAGGCCTGCCACTTATGGCAGGGGGATATGATAAGTGTGGCCATATCCTGGGCTGATGTCAGATCATGGGGTGGAGGGCTCAGACAGAGGGGCTCAGAGAGGGTCTCAGTGAGGCTTTGGGGGGCTCAGTGTGGGAGGTGGCTTGTGGAGGGTTCAGCCAGGGGGCTGGGGGCTGGGCAAGAGAAAGGGCCACTGTCAAGTTGTCTGGTTGGGAGAGGAGGTACCTTCAGAACTGGGCAGAGGCTCCTGGCCCAAGGTGCAGAGGCTGAGGTGCTGGTAGAGGCCCCGGGCTTGGGCCTGTTCCAGCATCTTTGGGCTCCCGTCCACTCCATGCAGCTGGAGGAAGCCCCGAGCCTGCAGCTGAGATGGAGGAGGGGGAAACTCAGTCACAGTTCACACCTGTCATCTCTCAGCTGGGTCCCTGCATCTAGGGAGGGCAGTGGGCCCACAGTAAATTGTAGTCCAAATGTTTGGGAACAGTGAGTCTGATGGGGGAGGCAGAGTTCTGGGGCCAGAGGTGAAAGGAAAATTTTGAGCAAGTGGGTAAAGAGAGGGCAGGGGATCTGGGGAGGCCTCACCTCAGCAGCCACCAGGCCGGTGCCACAGGCCACATCCAGGATCAGGGCAGCATGAGGTGGGACTGGAAGGGCTTGAGTGAGGCAGTCCACTGCGAGGCACGGGGCACGGTACTGCAGGGTGGCCACGTCCTGGGGACAGAGTGCTGAGCCAACTGGCACCCTCTGCCCCAGCATTTGGGGGACCTCTGTGTAAGATTGTCTAGGAGTCAGGCAGTCCAAACTGTGTGTGCATGTGTGTGGTGTGTGGTGTGTACGTGTGTGTGCTGGGGTCACTAGGGCTCCAGCCCCATGGGGATACAGCATGAGGTGCTTTCCTCAGTCAAGGGGCCAGGATTAGAGAGTCAGCACCCAGCCCACTGCTGGGAACCGCTCTGCCGGCCAAGGTAGTGCTCTCTCCTTAGTCCACAGTGATCCCTCAAGTGGCACTCCCTCCAGGCAGCCCCTCTGGCTGGGCTGCAGTCCCAGGGTGGTGAGGTCCTGCTTCCTGATTTCTAGGGGCTGCCAGTGTGGAGCCTGGGGTTGGCCAGAGGGCAGGGCTGCTGTGGGCGAGCCGAGGAGGGGCTAGTCCTTGAGGGGGCAGGACCGCAAAGGCTCAGCTCATTCTTACAAGCCACCTTCGGGTGACGGGAGGCTAACTGTTCCTACTTTGCAGATAGGAAAGTTGGGGCTGCGCGAGCCGAAGAGGTGGAAGTGAGGAGCCTGGCCAGTTTACCTGGTCATAGTCCGGAGCCCAGCGCTCATAGAAGTGCAGTTTGTGGTCCAGGTCGGTGATGCCGTGTAAGGCCCCCACCCGAGCCCGCGCCTCGGCCAGGTTCCCGCCCTCCGCCTGAGCCATCCTCCTGCGGATACATAGCCTGGGCGTCTCGAGGCCCACTGCAGTCTCTCCCATTCCCGCCCGACACCTGCAAGGCCACTGCATGGGCGGCCCCAGCACACAGAGGGCGAGACGGGGCACGTGGGGCTCAGGGCTGGGCGGGGGGGTGCTCCCTGCAGCGGGAGGGAGGACCTGCCCCCACCTGCCCCCACCTGCCCGCTCCCGAGGCCGCGAGCCTGACGCAGTGAGCCGGATTCCATCACCCACGGGATCTAAAAAGGTCGAGGGAGTCAGAACTCACCGCGGATCCCACTCGCCTGCAGGGCTGGGAGCCCCGGAAGTGGGGCGGGGCCTACAGGGAGAGCCTGGCCCCTCCCCCACCGCCCACGGTGATTGGCTTTCCGCTATGAGCAACTACCCAATCAAAGGAAAGCGCTGGCAGCCGCCCCTCCGCCATCAGCCAATGAGCTCAAAGTTCTTGGCCTTTCTCTAGCCCGGGAAGATCAGACTCAGACGCACTTGCAGGGTTTCCACTTTTAGGAGCATCTCTGTGGCTCCCTCTCGAGGTCCTTTGTATGCCTTTACTTTTAGGAAGTGAGAGCCTCTGGAAAAAAAAAATTTTTTTTTAAAAGATTTTATGTATTTATTAATGAGAGACACACAGAGAGAGGCAGAGACATAGGCAGAGGGAGAAGCAGGCTCCCCATGGGCATCCTGATCCGGGACTAGATCCCGGGACCCTAGGATCACCACCTGAACTGAAGGTAGACGCTCAACCACTGAGCCACCCAGGTGCCCCGAGCCTCTGAAATCTTATGGACAAGAGGGGGACCTAAGATCGGCCTTCATTTTTTGAACAGTCACCTTGGTCTGGGCAATGCCATCTAGTAGAACTTTCTGTGGCCATGGAAATGTTCTATACTGGACGCTATTTGATATAGTAGCCACTAGCTACATGTGGCGGTTGGACATCTGAAATGTGGCCAGTGCTCCTGAGGAACTGAATTTTAAGTTTTGTTTTAATAGTTTAAATAGCCATCTGTGGCTAGTGGCCTCCATATCGGACAGTTTGGGGATCCTTGTTACCTAAAGTCAGTCCAAACACTTGCAGCCTCTGTCCCAGCATCTTTAGCTTGGGTTGCTCCAGGGGATGCCCTGAGGTGAGCTTGTGAGGCATGCAAATTAATGAGCCCAATCCCAGACCAAGTGGATCAGAATCAGATTGTAAGGGGGTAGGGAGGCCCCAGAAAATCCTCTTGAAACAGATTCACCAGGTGAGGTGATTTCTGTTTTTAAATTTTTTAAAAAAGATTTTATTTATGGGCAGCCCCGGTGGCACAGTGGTTTAGCACCGCCTGCAGCCCAGGACGTGATCCTGGAGACCGTGGATTGAGTCCCACGTCAGGCTCTCTGCATGGAGCCTGCTTCTCCCTCTGCCTGTGTCTCTGCCTCTCTCTCTCTCTGCATCTCTATGAATAAATAAATAAAATCTTAAAAAAAAAGATTTTATTTATTTGAGATAGCACACAGGCAGGACGGGGAGGGGGAAAGGCAGACAGAGAGAGAGAGCAGCAGACTCCCTGCTGAGCGGGGAGCCCAATGCGGGCTCCATCCTGGGCCCCAAGATCATGACCTGAGCCCAAGACAGATGAGAAACCAACTGAGCCACCCAGGTGCCCCTCTTTTAAAAAAATTTTTTTTAAATTTTGTTTATTTATTTGATGGAGAGAGACAGCATGAGCAGGGGGAGCTGCAGAGGGGGAGGGAGAAGCAGACTCCCCGCTGAGCAGGGAGCCCAGCGGAAGACTCTATCCCAGGACCCTGGGATCATCACTTGAGCCAAAGGCACATGTCTAATTGACTGAGCCATATACATGTCCCTCTCATGATTTCTGTGCCTCTAGGTTCAGAAGCACTAGGTTAAAGAACCCTTGGGGATCAAAGTTTGGGCAGGTGGAGTCTGGGAGCCTGTTGCAGTTGTTCAGGAGGGAGGCGATGGTAGCATGACCTTGGGCAGTGGTCATGGCTGTAGAGAGGAGTGGATGGAGTTCAGAGATGTTTTGGTGGTAGAAGTAGGAGGGCTTTGGTGATTGAGAGTGAGTGGTGTGGGGAGGGGAAGCAAGCTGTGGGGAGTTGAGCCTTTGGGTTGATGTGGTGCCATTCACAAGGGAAGCTGGAGAGGAGGAGCAGATTTGGGGTAAAGAGGATAATAACAGTTTGGGGGTGTTGAATTTGAGGTGTCTACGTGAAGATGTCCAGAAGGCTGTTTGATGCCAGTCTTGGGCTCAGGAGAGAGATCAAGCTGGAGATAGATTCAGGGTCATGAGTAAAACCAGTGATGATTGAGGCAGCCGGTAAAGGTGAGATGTGCAGGGAGAGAAGAGAAAGAGAAGAAGATAGGGCTCAGGGTCCAGCTTGAGAACTCCCAACCTTTCAGGGAAGAAGAGGAGTGTCTGGGAGAGCTGGAGAAAACCCAGCAAAGTTAGGAAGGATGCCAAGAACAGAGTGTTTCAAAAAGACAAGGAATGGCCAAACGAGGTGGTTAAAATGAGGCTTTGGAAGTGAGCACTGGCTATAGGGATGTGGAGGTCTTTGGGGCCGAGAGAGACCTTGAAAGGGTACACTATTTACCTCCTCTTCCCTAGTTAGACATCGTGTCCCAGCCTCCCTTATCTGTAGGTGTGGCTGTATGGCTGAATTCTGGCCAATTAAAGGCAGATGGTGATGAAATGCTCTATTTCCAGACATGGACCATAAACATCCCCTATCTGATCCTCTGTGGAGGGGGGCTAAGCACCCAGAGGAGAATGGGTTTCCCAGATAACAGAATCTGGAACCCTAAAGGACTGTGCATAGCCGTGCCCTCCCCACCAACCTACATCGGACTGTAACATGAGCAAGAAATCAATTTCATTGTGTTGAGCCATGGAGATTTCAGGATTGTCTGTGACAATAACTTGTCATTTCTCTCAATTAATACAGTGACATTGGCAATAGCAGTTTTGGGGGAGTGGAGGTAGTGGAGGAAACCCAAATTTCAGCTGTCACCTCCCAAGATCCAAACCCAGATTTGTTTCAGTCCAAAAGTGTACAGTGAGTGTGTTGTGAATCCATGTGTTCAGCTGCAAATAACAGAGCGTGGGCACAGCTACAGCTGAAACACACAGAGAGAGATTGACTGGGTTCATCAAGGAAGCTGAGACTGGGCAGTCTAATCAGAGGCTCAGTTATGCCATCAGGGACCCACACTCTTGTCATCTTCCTTCTCTGCCACCTTTTGCACAGAAGCCTTTGTGCTCATGACTGTCATCTCATGGCTGTTGCACCTCCCGACAGGACAGGAGGCAGAGGAAAGGGCAGAAAGCTAGGCCAGCTCAGACTACACATCATCACAAAAGCTTTATTGGAAGCACAGGATCCTGAATCTACTTCGTCCTATTGGCCACTCTGGGTCACATGGCTGCCCCTGAGCCATCACTAGCAGGTGAGTCGGGAGGGAGAGGTTGGGAATGGGGACTGGCTCAGTCAGCTGACAGTGTGGGCCCCATCTCTACAGCCTACTGTTCTGTTTAGGCCCATAAATATTTATTGTGTACCTACTGTTTATCAGGCCCTGGGCAGGGCACTTGGAGTCAGAGATGAGTCAGAAACAGCCCCCACTCTACCCTGGTCTAGTGGGGTGGGGGAGATGGGTGTCTTACCCTCTTCAGGCTCTAGTCACTATCTCCTCAGTATCTGAATGCAGGCTTTTCCTTCTAAGTCACCTGCCCCCTCCCTGGTGTCCAGAACCCCTCTTTTGTCTGGTGGTGGGGGCTGTGGTGTTGAAAGATGTTATTGGAAGGATTGACTCTTTTTTATTTTTAAAGATTTTTATTTATTTATTCATAAGAGACACACAGAGAGAGGCAGAGACATAGGCAGAGGGAGAAGCAGGCTCCCTGCGGGGAGCCCGATATGTGACTTGATCTCATGATCCCAGGACCCCAGGATTATGACCTGAGCCGAAGGCAGACTCTCAACCACTGAGGCACACAGGCATGCCAGGATTGACCTTTTATGTAAAGTGGATAGCCCTAAAGGCAGTCCTGCTGGATCATCAGAGGGTGGCCTGTCTGGCTCCAGGATAGAACCTAGGGGAGGCCCTGGAGGGACTGCATATCTGTCCCCAGAGTCCCTCAGTGCCTCTGCTCAGTGGTACCCCACTCACTGATGGGGTGCTGCATGGTCTGTGGACACCAACATGGCTCCTATAACAATGGCTCCTAGGCCCTGGTGGAGAATGAGACTTGCCATGCGGGGTCCTGGTGGGAGCTGGTGGTCTCAGGATGTGCTCTGCTACTCCCAAGCATGGACCCCAGGCCCCACTGACTTCTTGCCCCAGAACCCACTCCATTTCTTCCCCTCCAGAGCCCCAGGAAACTATCCTAGCCTCAGGGAAGGAGGTATTTTTCTGACCTATTGACATTTTCTTTTTCCTGTTATCAGCCCCCTTAAGTCCTAAACTTTGGAACCCCAAAGCCTTTCCTGTGTCTTTTGCTGACAAAGACCCTCCCCCGAAACACTGGACACCATCCAGTCTGCCCAAAAACCAGGGTGTGAAAAGGAGCAGTTTATTTTTCAAAACTATTGCATGACCTCACAGATGGGCAAGCCAGAGGTCAAGGACTGCAGGTGGCTGAGGCCAAGTGAGTCACCCTGTGGCCAGAGTGAGTGACAGGAAAGGGTCAAGTGGACAAAGGTGAGGCCATGTTACTTCAAGATGGCCCACAGGCAAGACATAGGGATGCCAATGGGCAAGAGTTCTGAGGGGGACGGCATGACTTTTGGGAGCCAGGTGTGGGAGGGTGGGATGTTTACATGCGTGAGGATGTGCGGGTCAGTTGGGATGCTTCTAGATGCAAGTGCTGGACTGGGATTGGAATCCCAATCCCAATCCCAAAAAATTTTTAAAAAAGATTTTATTTATTCATTCATGAGAGACACAGAGAGAGGGAGAGAGAGAGAGAGAGAGAGAGAGAGAGAGAGAGAGAGAGAGGCAGAGGGAGAAGCAGGCTCCATGCTGGGAGCCTGATGTAGGACTTGATCCCAGGTCTCCAGGATCAGGCCCTGGGCTGAAGGCAGTGCTAAACCACTGAGCCACCGGGGCTGCCCCCAGATGGTTTAAATAATTGGGGTTTGTTGTTTAGTCATATGAGAAGTCTGGTGGTCCACAGTACAAGGCTGGCCCTGGGGCCCACTGATTTTTCTTTTTTAACGATTTATTTATTTATTTGAGAGAGATCGAGGGAGCAGGGGGAAGGGCAGAAGGAGAGGGAGAGAATCTCAAGCAGACT